AAAATGTCTTCATAAAATTTAGTATAGAGGATAAATCTCATTGTAAAACACCACTCCCTAGAAAAATATGTAATATTACCTCTTAGGAACATTGGTTTTAACTTTTGCCAACTAATCGTGGATTTTAGTACTGGTATCAAAATAAACAATTAATTAATCCTTTGAAAATTACCGTGAATCTGGTTACAGGTGATTAACACTTTTGTGAACAGTGTTCCAAATAAGCTATTGGGCAGCCGTGAGGAAACTTACCGCCTACCCAATTAAAGCATCCTTTCCTTGCGATAATATCGTAATGAACAGTAAAATAAACTTGCACTTTTAATTAATTGATGGTTCGTTATTCTCAAAGTTGTGACTACATATACAAAATGCTAATAAAGTTCATTGCTTCACTAAAGATAGTTAATTCCAGATGACTCATATGGTGCAACTTCATGGAACATATTTATATTTATATTTATTTTATTTTTGGCTAGGTGTTGCTGCCTTTTGTATTTCGGTGAACACTTCATCAATGAATTGGTCTTGAAGGGTGATGTTATTGTCCAGGTAACGTATATGCTTCATTAAACATAATCAAGATTTGAAACTAGAAATAAAAATCAAAGGGCAAGCTAAGTTTGTTTTGTCAACCGAATTTTAGAATAAAAGAGCAAGCTTTGAAATAATTGGAAAAGTGACAGATGAGGATTGACTTGGTATAGTTTGGCTTTTCTTTTGCTACACTTGATGTTAGTTAGCATAAACATTTTACAAAAAATGTGTTGGTTGGTTCATTTGGTTATGAGGGCTGTGATCTATGATCTTCCTATTTTTTTTGTTCTCTCTAATTGCAGGGCATTGACTTAATGGTATATCAGGTTCGTAAATCCTCTAAACCTTTTAGTGGACAAGTTAGAATTGTTATTTATTGGTACCGAGTTGACGTGTACGTTGAGTTTCGGTTCGGGATGAGTTTCTGCTGTAGAGAAGAGAGTCATGATGTTGGAACTACTGTCGTTACTGCTGTTGATTCCAATGCGCCCTGCTTCTCCTTCTCTGCTTTCTCAGTTTCATTTTTTTTTTGTTACGATTGTCGGTTTGTCGATCTGTCTCTTACCTCTTTCTTATATCACTAGATTCGAAGTAAAAGTTTGCTTATTTGGTGAAAGGGTGGTCAGGGGTGGTTGCTGAATGTCGTCGTTTCTCTTTACTGTTGGGTACAGTCGATGAAATTGTATGATCAAAGGTGAGATTTGTTCTTATAAAAATTGACTGATCAGATTTGTCCTGTACTTTGATTTAGGATGGAGTGTTTACTGGCCGTTTTTAGCTATGTCTTACTCATATGTTGTGTTTGTTGCCGGTTTTGTGTCATGTTAAAGTCTTCCCTTTTATGTTATCTGGATCTTGCGATGCTGCTCAAAGGAAGTTTCGCCATAATGTAATTGATTTGTCAGTTGTCACCATTGCTAGACTTGATTTTTGACTTTTTGATGATCTTTTATGGTTGCTGGTCCTTGAAAATGAATCTCATTATATGTTAATTGATGATTTTTTACTTTCAAATATCTCATATTCCTGTTACTACTTGAGTAGTGTGAGATTGCAGATTTGAAGCTCCCGAATAATATGGTTTGCTTCTTTTCCCTCTGCCCAAACTATCTTTTCCCTCAGCACAATTCCTCTGTTTTGGGTTGCTTTGGAGGTTCAAGTATTTCAACTAACCATCGTTTTTAGACTATATTTGCAGCTCATCGGATGCTTCACTTCTCATTTTGAGCTATAATATATAAGAAGCAGATAATTCTCTTATTTTTGTTTCAATCTTCTACAAAGAGAAAAGTCATATAGCTGGGGACTGAGATTAGGAATGATTCAGTTGTAGATTGGAACTTCATTGGACAACAAGAAATGTTGTGTTGAGCAGATTTAGCAAATTCAAGACATGTAAAGGCATGAAACTTTTTGTGTTATTTCGTATTTTACTGAAGTTTTCTTTGGTGGACGCCTCATCTCTCAAAATATAATCCTTGATTCTACTTGGGCGATCAAATGAAAAGATGTATTGCACGAGTTTCAGGCCTCACTACTGTATAGGTTCTTTCATATTGGCACCCATTCAACTTTCCACAAATTAAGTTAACAATTGGATCTATTCATCACAGGTTCTTATGTTTTAGCTGCATTTCAAATGATTACTTAAGGTAACATATTGATCTTATTACATGAGTAAACTATTCATCATCACATTTCTTACTAAACCACACAGTTTGGCCTAAATAATACTCTACTACAAAAGTCCCGGCGCGAAGCGCGGGCTTGCGTACTAGTAATATATCAAAGAGATAAGTTTCTAAACTAAAAGAGCTGCCGTGTTACGTATATGCTTGTTGCATTTTTGTGCATGTCTGATAGTCGCTGTCCAACTCTGAATCCAGTGTGCAAGGATCTTGACCTCCTGGTACTTGTGCTCAAAGACCCAGTCATTCCTCCTATTCCACAAATACTAAACAACAACTCCGAACAACAGCCCCCGTTTTTGTGTTCTTCAAGTTGGTCGTCAACCATTATGCAAAGTTCAAGCCATGAGTCAGTGGTTTATCAATGGGGACCAAGATTCTGCCAAACCTGTTGTGTGCAAGGGGGCAATTTTGAAGAATATGTTCTGCCTTTTGTTTGGTGCTAGCTTGCCTAAATCACAGGTATCTCCTTGACACAGCTTCCTTCGCTTTCGTCACAGTTCACCATGAGGCGATCATGCAATTAAAGCCATATGAAAATTATGAGTGATGTTAAGATACTGCAGGGAAAAGTCGTTCATGATTCCACAACTCCGCTTACCTAGAAGTGTTTTTTTTTTTTACTTTGCTTATTGCAGTAAGTACTCTTTCAACACTTGAATGACAACCGATAGCAACAAACATCCCTAAGTTTCTAGTTTTTTTGTTTATATTAAACTCCACTTACAAAGTATATGAATTAAAAGTTATATATAGATCACAAAACATTAGTTTCGTAAAATTATGTACAATAATATAGAAATCTTGTGTTCATTCAACAATCAAATAAACATAATTACTCCATATTTTTGGACTAAGGTGGTGCAAATGACCCACCTTAGCTACATGTGGCTCCGCCACTAGGAACAACCATGTGCGACCCGTCTTTTGCTTAATGAGCTTTGTTGGGTTTATTTTGGTTACAAAGATCAAGTTTCGGTTTGATCATTCAATAGTTGATCAAACCTCTAATTTTGGGTTGTATTGAAACCTAGATTCAGACATTATTACAGCCTGAACGCTTTTTCTGTTAACTATGTTTCGGACGCTTTTTTTCCTACTAACTATATCTCAGAAAATGTAAGGAAGAAAAAAAAAGCATACACTTGCTATGATGCTATCTAACCAGAAGGATTCGTCCAAATTAGGTACACATCATTTACAGCTCTTATATTCTCTCACAAGTCCTTAAACCGTTACCCAAGTTGCTAACTTTTCCAACCTTTTGTGTTGTAGTTATCCTTCAAGTTGCTAGGAGAAGATGAACTGAAAAGGGTGGTTTGCAATTGTATCGACCAAAAGGGTCTCTTTCCTCTGCTCCTACACGTCCACACGGTGACTTTAATCATATTGATTTGATGCAAAACCCACATCACTTGTTGTCCTGTTTCTTCTAATATTTTGTTGAAAAGTTGCGTCATAGCTCAAACAAACATCTTAATGGATCCAGCTGCGCTAATTGCCAATCCCAGTTGTGCAATATCCAATCATATATTTAATTTTGCCTTGCGACTGCCCATCTTTTCCCCGTCCACATGCAAATGCAACATTGTCTTGCTGCCCTCATTAATCGTGGATTAAGACATAGCACCAATTAAATGGTTGATTGTAATTAATCCTGACCTCTCAAGTCACGGGGTGTGATAACTCATAATATGATTAGAGATTGACAAAATATTAATTCATCTAGCATATTCAAAATTTTGTTGATAGTGGGTCATTTAGAAGAAGAAAAAAAATACATACGATAAAATAGTTTTATAAGTTTTTTTAAATCATTCATGATATAATTTTGTATTAAAAAAAATTTAATTGATTAAATATGCATCAAAACTATCAAGATATTACTTATATGTGTCAAACAATTAATCTTATTTAGTTAGAAATTCGCTTTTGAATATTGTTCTTTGTCAAGACCGTTTAGTATTAATAACTCGAGATGTTGAGAAAGATTTAATAATAGATCTTATACTCTTTAGTATTCACTAACAACCAACTAATTATTTATGTGAATAGACAGCTAAGGGACCTTAATTTTTGAAAATGCTCTGTATGACTTCGTTGTCGGAATCGGCTCCGGCGGAAGGGATGACGCCGACTGGACGGCCACCAGATGAGCAGCAGCCGCCGGACCTGACCTCACCCACACGGACGACGGTCAACGAGCTGGAATCTACCCCTCCGGCAGAGATCTCTGTGAACCTGATGCATATTGACGGCAGCGCCGGAGAGGGGAACACGATTATGGATGGCGCAAAGACACTGACAGCAACACCGGCGGAGACTGCAGGGGACAAGCCTGTTGGCTTGCCAATGACTTCGTACGCTGGTGTGGTGGCCGGGTCGGGTGGCCTAACTCAGTCGCCTGTATCGAGATGGATCCCGGTTGGGGAGAGTGATCTTGTCACTGGGAGTTTCAATGGCGAACCAGAACTTAAAATCTCGGACAACTTCCGGAGCCGTTTGAGTGCGCCGTGGCAACGTACTCTTGTTATTCGGCTGCTTGGCCGGACAATAGGATATACGACGCTCTGTAACAGGCTTCGCGCTCTCTGGCGGCCAACAAGTGCTTGGGAGGTGCATGCGCTGGATGATGACTGTTTCCTGGTTAAACTTGGGAACGACCAGGATTATTTCAAGGCGTTGACGGAAGGTCCATGGGTAATTTTTGATCATTACCTTTTGGTCCAGCAATGGACCCCCTCGTTCAGAGTCTCCGATCAACTCCCGAGATCGATGGTGGTTTGGGTGCAATTTCCAGGTTTCCCTGTGCACTTTTATCACAAAGAAATTTTGTTCTCGATGGGAAACATGATTGGCAGAGCTATCAAATTGGATTACCACACGCTACACCAACAGCGAACCAAATTTGCAAGGATAGCAGTGGAGGTGGATTTGTCCAGACCTCTTGTGCCTCGGATCCGCCTTGACGGGAAATGGCAGCCAGTCGAGTATGAAAATGTCCCGGTGGTTTGTTTTGAGTGTGGAAGGATTGGGCATGCTCAGGCTTCTTGCCCCAGCCTTCATTCTACCGCTCCGGCCACAAACCTCCCGGACGCCGGAGGAGAGTTGATCGTCGGCGACAAAGGTGACTCATTGGAGCCTAACGGCGGCTTTGGACCATGGATGATAGTCTCGAGAAATTCTCGGCGCAATCAGAGGGCTACACCTAACAAAGGAAAGACGACTGAGGAGAATACCGTTGGCAACGTTCCAGCCTTGGGCCATTCCGGGAAAGTAGAGAAGAAGATCTTGACAAAGACGACTGACTTGCCTTTTTCGGACTCCAAACCGCGGCAGCCGGAACCACCCAAATCACAAGGAAAGAATATGAGAGAGATGGGGAAAGATGGTGGAGGTTCTAAAAATGGAAAGGTGAACGGGGAACAGAAGAAAGGAAAGGATGGTGGCGGAAAAAAAAGGGACAAGGGGATTGCTAACCCCAATGGCACTAACAAGGGAGGGAGCATTTTGGGCCCACGACCTGGGCTTTCTTTGGATTCATCTGGAGCTTCCTCTTCACATAATAGTAGCCTGCTCCCTCAACTAAATAATGATGGCGAGCCCACTCAATCAAGCCCAGCAAGATGCAAAGTTCTCAGTAGCCCAACCCACATCGTCAAAGGAGCTAATGGGACTACTATGCGTATTGTTGAGGTTGCTGACTACCCTTCCCCATCTCGAGATAATGGGATAATGACCCCGTCGACGGTGGCGCGCACTAAGCAGCGGAGGAACAAGGATGGAGGAATAGGAGAGGGGATTCAAGCACAGTCTAAGAAGGGCACCTCTATTAAGCATAACCCCTCGAAATCTCTCCAGATTTGAACTCCGAAGAAGGATAAGAAGACCAAGTCGAGGGAGAGACGGGTGTCGGTTACGCTCGAACAAATTGCTGCGTGGACGTCGGCGATGACAGCTGAGAAGATTGGGGGCACGGCGAGAGCGCCGGATGGAGTCGATTCAAGAGTGGATGGCGGGGCTAACCTACAGGCCGACCCTCCCGCTAGTGCTTGATCGACCTTTTCTCCTCTTCTCCCTCTCTTTTCTCTTTGTTTTTTATGTCTATGTCTGTTCTTATGCTGGATTCATTTAAATTTTTTTCTTGGAATGTGGGTGGGGCTGGAGGCAGGTCTTTTTCTCGCTCTTTGAGGCTTGCTCTCCAGCTCCACAGACCTGACTTCGTGGTCTTGTTGGAACCGCAGGTTAGTGGTGTCGCCGCCAACAAAGTGTGTGAGAAGCTGGGGTTTCCAGATGTTGCCAGGGTAGAGGCAGTTGGAAGAAGCGGGGGGATATGGGTTTTTTGGAATGGCAACTCTGTCTCGGCTGAGGTTTATTCCGCTGGCCCTCAGCACCTCTCGTTGAGGATTGACAAAGCCTCGATGCCCACGTGGATTTTGACTGCGATTTACGCGTCCCCTCGTCAGCAAGAGCAAAAGCTTCTCTGGAACTCCATTATCGAGCAAAGTTCAGACATCACGTGCCCTTGGTTGCTGACTGGTGATTTTAATGCCATCCTGACGCCCGAAGAAAGGTCCGGAGTTGCCACTGCTGCCACTTTCCGTCGGTGCAAAAGATTTAGTGATTGGATCAATCTGGCGGAATTGATTGACCTCGGCTTCTCCGGTCCGATCTTTACGTGGACTAGAGGGAACCAAGCTGATACTTACAAAGCTAGTCGTCTGGATCGGAGTCTGTGTAATTTGGAGTGGAATGAGGCCTTTCCGAATACTTCAGTAACGCACCTCCCTCGCATAAGCTCTGATCATCATCCAATCCTTACTACTGTGTCTTCCCAGGGAGTCTCTGCTCATGTTCCTAAAAGGTTTAAGTTTGAAGCTGCTTGGTTGACTCATAGTAATTTCAAGGAGTTTTTGACTACTTCTTGGAACTCGCAGGTGAACCTTTCTCAAGCCCTGCATGAGTTCACGGGGAAGCTGCAAGACTGGAACAGATCGGTTTTTGGTAACGTGCACCAACGTAAGAAGAGATTGTTGGCCAGGATTGGGGGAGTTGAGCGGCGCCTAGCTACTGCCTTCAATCCGGGTCTTGCTAAGCTGCATTCCAAGTTGGAGGCCGAGTTGGATTTGACTCTGGAACAGGAGGAGCTCCTGTGGTTCCAACGGGCTAGAGAGAGCTGGGTAAAATTTGGGGAGCGGAACACAGCTTACTTCCATCAAATGGCCAACATCCGAAGACGAGCCAATAAAATTGCGGCTCTGAAGAATGCTAATGGAGACTGGGTACAGGATGTTTTGGAGCTCAAAACGATGGTTTTCGATTTCTATGTCGAGCTCTATATGCAGGATGGAGGGATGTATGTTGATCGGATGCCTAAGGAGATGTTCCCACGGCTTAACCAGGAGGATTGGATGTGCCTCCTCCGCCCTTTCACAATCATGGATATTCACAAGGCGATTTTTGATATGAAACCTCTTCAGGCACCAGGTCCGGATGGTTTTCAGGCAGTTTTCTTTCAGAAGGCGTGGAGCGTAGTTGGTAAAAGTTTGACCGATATGGCTATCTCTTTTTTTGAGGGTGGGGCCCTCCCAGAAGAGGTTACTTCCTCGACGATGGTGCTCATCCCGAAGGTGGAGAATCCGGAAACCGTTAGCCAGCTCCGCCCCATATCTCTGAACAACGTCAGCCTGAAAGCCATTACTAAGGCAATGACAAGCAGACTGAAGCCGATCATGAGGAAGCTTGTTTCTCCTCGCCAGAGCAGTTTTATTCCGGGTCGCCAAACAACGGATAACATCTTGGTGGTTCAGGAGGTGCTGCATTCTCTCAGGAAGAAGAAGGGGAAGAAGGGTGGTCTGGTTGTGAAAATTGACTTGGAGAAAGCCTACGACAGACTCCGGTGGGATTTCCTTCGCGACACACTGTGCGAGATTGGCCTTCCCAGTTCTTGGATTCGGTGTATCATGTACTGCGTGGAGCAGAATAGAATGCGGATTCTGTGGAATGGGGAGCTGTTGCAGACCATCACACCCACCCGCGGGGTTCGACAGGGAGACCCTCTTTCACCCTATCTCTTTGTCCTTTGCATTGAGCGTCTATCACATAGAATCGATCAGGCCGTTCGGGAAAAGCTCTGGAAACCGGTTAAATTATCACCGAACGGTCCTGCTCTAACCCATCTGTTTTTTGCCGATGATCTTATTCTGTTTGCAGAGGCTGAGGGCGCACAGGTGCAGGTGATTAGAAGATGCCTGGAGGACTTCTGCGAGAGCTCAGGACAGCGGGTTAGCTATGCTAAATCCTCCATGTTTGTTTCGCCTAATGTCCATCAGCACAGAGCGCAACGCTTGAGCGACCGGGCGGGCATCCCCCTCACGAAGGACCTTGGCCGTTACCTGGGGATTCGAACCATTCACGGCAGAGTCACGAAGATGCGATATCAAGACCTGGTTCTTAGAATCAAAAAGAAGTTGGCTCCCTGGAAAGCTAGGCGTTTGTCTATGGCTGCCAGGCTGACAGTAATTCGCTCTGTATCCTCGGCAATTCCTACTTATCCTATGCATTCTGAGCTTATCCCGATGAATGTGTGCAACTCTATAGATAAGATGAACAGGGACTTTGCGTGGGGAGATGAGGAGGGCCAGGGGAAGATGCATCTGGTGGCGTGGGAGAAGCTTCAGGAGCCGAAATGGCTGGGTGGAGCGGGACTGCGAACCTTGAGGCAAGCCAACCTCGCTCTCCTAGCTAAAGGTGGATGGCGACTTCTGACTGAGAGGGACTGCTTGTGGACCCAGTTAATGAGGGCGAAGTATGGGAAACAGCGTGAAGGCATGGCCATCTTCCGGCCTAGTCAGGGAAGTTCCTTTGCTTGGAGAAGTTTTAACAAAGCTTCTGATCTCCTGAAAAAGGGAGTGGCGTGGAATATTCATAATGGTAGGAAAACTAATTTTTGGCAGGACTTATGGGTTTTGCAGGTTCCTCTCAAGACGGTCGCCCTCCATCCCATACCGATGGCTAAGCTCGCAGAAGTGGTGGCAGATTATGTGGATGCGAATGGCCAATGGGACGTTGCTCGCCTGGAACCATGGCTGCCCACGGAGATCATTCACAAAATAACGGCGACGGCGGTGGATCCCCTCTCGTCCTGCCCGGATACTTTGTTCTGGACTGCCTCTCCAAGCGGCAGATTTACGGCTAAGTCCGCTTATCTGATGGCCTTTGCTGACAGATCAAATCAGAATGAGAGGCTCTGGCGAAAGGTGTGGCGGTTGCAGCTTCCAGAGCGCATTCGGGTCTTCACTTGGCTGGTTACTCTGGGGCGTATTGCGACTAATGGGCTGCGGCACTTCAGGAAGTGTGCTCCCTCACCGGCGTGCAGCAGGTGTGATGGAGTGCCGGAAACTATTCTTCACGCTCTCCGGGATTGCCCGCCTGCTTTCTTTTTTTGGAGTAGACAGGTCCCGGCGGCAGATCAGGGTAGGTTCTTTTCGTTCAGCCTGGAGGAGTGGATATCCAAGAATGTTTTCAAAGATGACTTGCTTCCTTCTGGAATGGCGTGGTGTGATTTTTTTGCAGCTGCCATCTGGCTTATTTGGAAGAACAGGTGTCAGACGTGCTTCCATGGGACAGCAGGGGCGCTCACCGCTCCGTCTCTGGCGCATGCGATCGTGCATAAAGCCTCTCTTTGGCACGGTGCGTGGAGATCGGATAGCACAGCTGATCTGCGGACTCCCCTCCCTGCGGCGGAAAGAATTGTGGCCAATATTGGTTGGACTGCGCCTCCTCCGGGATGGCGGAAGCTCAACATTGATGGGGCCTCGGCGGGGAACCCTGGCTTGGCAGGGGCTGGAGGGGTTATCCGAGATGAGCAGGGAAACTGGGTAGTTGGTTTTGTGGCCCAAATTGGAGAGGCCACCGCAGGTTTGGCTGAGTTATGGGCTCTCTTTCATGGTTTAAATCTTGCTTGGAGCCATGGCTGCTTCAATCTTCTAGTGGAAACTGACTCCCAGTTGGTTATTCAGTGGATCAAGAATCGGGTTGACCCTCTCCACCCCCATGCCTCCCTTTTATCCTCGATAAGGAGATGTTTGGCTCGTGATTGGTTGGTCAATATAACTCATACATATCGCGAAGGGAATAGAGTCGCGGACTGGCTCTCGAAGCACAGTCTCGTCTATCCCTACGGTATGCATGAGCTTATTGACCCGCCAAGTGATCTGGGACGATTCCTTCATGATGATGAGATGGGTGTGACTTTTGAGCGTCGAGTTGTAGCTTCGGCCCCCCTGTAATCTCTCTCCCCTGTTTTTCTTGGCTTTCGCCTCCCTTAATGCAAAAAAAAAAAAACTAATTATTTATGTTTAAAGTTTGTCGCAAATAGGAATATCTTGTACTTAACAAATGGGGCCGCCAAGATTGGAACACATGATCTCTCGGTCAATCATTCTCAATCAGAATCGCCCTAAATTTCATTCTCAATTAACTATTATACTAATTTACTCATTTTCATCCTTAGGAGCCACCCGTTACACTCTCCCTCTACCCATGATTGAAATAAAATTAGTTTTACAAATTAGCTATGATTTGGGTGGATCATATGCACCATTGTCATTTGTACATAGCTCGTTCTAAAAAATTAAATATTTCAATACACAACTTTATAAATCATACATCAAATATTTGAATACATATTATTTTTAATACCTGATTAACTATTATATCTAATTTATTATTTTCTCTCCCGATCCAGGATGGATCTCGAGACCCACCCTCTAACCAGCTCCCTCCGCCCCTGATCACCATTGTTATTCAACCGACCTTGAATCAATTTAATTGCGAAAAATTTAACAAATATTATTTTTTGGCATCTTGAAACATGAGAGATAAACTCTATCAATTGATATTTTGCCTCTAGGATTACTTGTATTACATGTCGCTCATATGAAAACGTATGAGCTCTATTCACAAGATGAAATTGAATAATAGTATATTTCTCTGGTCTGATTAGGGGTGGAAAATGGTCTATTTCGGTTAGAATGGACTGGCTTGACCCGATTTCCAGTTCCAATTTTTTCAAAAATAGTAACAAAAAATTGGATGGTTTCTTAAGTGATTTTAATTGAAACCGGACCAAATAGCTGGGGCAAAGAGGAGCGGATGTAACTCAATGGTCAGTAACCATGAATAACCTGTCTACATCAGCATGATATCAATAGCCTCTCTCTCCTGGAAAATCTTTTATCTTTTCCCTTTTAATCTTTAACGGACGATTTCTCTCTCGTTTTAAGTCGAAATTTAATTTTTTTTGCACAGATAAATCAGATTAAATATTCTCTTCAAAATGATATCCACTTTGATATATTTTTAGTACAAAAAAAAATGAATAATTTTTACCAGTCATTACCATATGGTATGCTCCAATAAATTTAATACCATATGGTAAGAAAGCGTACCATGATGGTATGAACATACCAATATGGTAAGAAGGTTGAATACATGATAGTAGGAGTATATTAACTGTCATTTACGACTTTCATCATTGTTTACTAAAAGTTACCACAAGGTACCAATCACATACCATAGTGGTAAAGTATGGTAATTTTTTATCCAGTATTTTTTTCACCTATAAATTTATAGATCCAATAGATCATGATGAACTCGTTCCTTCTGAGCAAACGTTTTCAAAAATGACTTAAAAATGAAGAAGTTACCATATGGTATGTAGTTGGTAAAAAAAAGTTTCTCGAAATATATTGAAAATTGATCTCATTTTGTAGAGCACAACAAACTCGTTCCATCCGTGCAAAAAAAATTGAAATCCGAGTTAGAACGAAGAAGATAAGAGCCAATTAAGAAAACTAGGGAAAATAAAATGTTTTTAATTGACAACCCTTAGATCTGAATTTTCTGGATCCACTTAAATTTAAAGGTCCAGATTTAGTTACTCATAGGTTAGTAATCATTGGTAACTGACCCTATCTTAAGCCGGGGCAAAGGAGTGGGTGTGGGAGTTGGGTTGAGTTTGGAAGGTTGGACTATATTTGTTTTTCTGATCCCATTTTTCGTGACAACAAAGTTTCCCGATCACTACTCTTTCTTACAGCGTATCTTTCTTCTTGATCGTCAATTGGTTTTGCCATTTCCTTTTGTGCGGACTGGTGACGAGTACTGATCAGTTATTTTGTTGGACACTTGGTTTGGCGGATTAGACGACTTTAGCAAGAACTTTTGTTGCCTCAAGCTTATCATCATTAACATTTCGCGAGGCATGGGACATGGTCTTCATCAACATCGGCATATTTGGTCGAGCAGTTATGTTTTTTTTTCTTCTTCTCATTTACTTCGGTTTTGTTCTGGTTTTCAAATTGTTGCTAAGTAATTACCATCAATTTGGAGAATGGTATTAGAGTATGTGTAGTACGAGTAGTATTATGTTATACTATCTTCTATAACCTATCAATCTGTTCCAACTCAGAGTGAAGAGCAGGGTCTCCAGAAACTCGATATAACACTTCTGTATTTATCACCTTCACTAACTCCCACAGAGCCTTAGTTAACTTCGTCCCATACATCCTGGTGCACCGTTCTCGTAAAACATGACTAACAGCCGAGCTCCATATCAACCTACATAAGCTCTGTCTTGGCTTCCTCAGTTGCCACTTCTGCACACACCAAGATATCACACTTCCCCAGTCCCCTGCAGTTGCCGGGGACAGACACTTTAAGCTTTGTAGTTTGTTGTAACACACACAGTGTAAGAACAAGAGACCAGAAGATGATTCACAATCCCTCCTGGACATAACAGTTAGCAGACACATTCCCGTCACTGATTTACACCAAGTTAGCAGCTTATCATGGGTAACAAGCTTATCACGCATTCCTAGCCAGTATAAAACCATGCTGAGGTATGATCTCCTTTGCACACACAAGCTCCCACCAATTAAGTTCCTATGAATGAGCTCGAATAGTATCCCAGACCTTGGTAACTGAGTATTTCTGTATCTGCTCTCCCTGCCATAGGACGTGAGGAGCGATGCCAGAGATATGAGGATAAGCAAGGTCTCTGCATTTCATAAACCTCTTCTAAATCCAAGTTCCAGCAGAAGTACCAGAGATTTCCCAGATGGTTTTCTGCTTTAATTTATATCTTGTAACCCACGCCACCCATAATGATCCTCCTGATGTTAGAATTTCTCATATGTGTCGCAGAACATAGGCCTTATTCCACCGGCTGAAGTTTTGAATTCCCTGACCTTCCTCCTGCCTTGGTAATGTCAGCTTGTCTCATGCCACTACAGCTCTCTTTCTGACACCATTCTCAGCAGAATCCCATAAGAATTCATTACATAATCCCTCAACCTCCTTGATGATAAACTGAGGCAGAAGAAAAGTATTGAGCTAGTACTGTAGTGTGCTAGTAATCACAATAGAGATTAGTTGTATTTTTCCTGCATAGCTTAACAATCTTGATCTCCAACTTCGTTGCCTTTGTGTAATTTTGTCAATAAGAACTTGACAATCCTTTCTTGTGAGCTTCCCAGTTATGAGTGGCACTCCTAAATATTTGACAAGAAGACTGCCAAAAGGAAATTCTGTAAAAGCAAAAATAAATTGCATATCTTCCTTTAAAATTCCTGCACAGAATAAAAAAATGTATATTTTGTTTTTGTCAAGTACTTTAATAAAAAATTATATCAAATAATTTTTCAAATTATTAATTTTGGATATAGCTTTGAACAGATAATGAATACATTGTTATTCAAATGCTGATATAAAAATATATAAATTTTCAATAATAAAAATAGGATGAATTACACCATATGAAAATATAGTATTAATGTGATTCTTTCTTTGCTCGAAATTTGTATTTAGATTTTATTTGAGTGACTTTAATCATCTCTAAAAGTACAACTATAGTAATATTAAAAAATTTCCTTTGTAACGCATTTTTATGGAGAAATTCGGCCCATCGAAAGTCAATTCCTGCCTCCACCCCTAAAACTAATTATCCATAAGGTCAGACCAAACAACAAGAGAAGAACTCGTTGGGTATGCTTAACCATAAGGAGAAATCCATGTGGTTAAGAACTAAAACTGATATGTAGAAAGTCCATATTCAAATATAATATAATAATAACCTTCAATCAATTATTTCTCTCAAGGTATTTTAAATCAAATATTATGGCTATTTGGAAAGTTGGAGTGCGTTAAATTGTGTCGATGTGAGGGTGGTTGTTTCAGTGCCTGCGACTTTTTCATCTATCATGATTTATGTCGTTATCTTTTGTACTAAGAAAATATAATTTTTGTGCGTGTAAAATTGTGACAGAACTTGTCTCGACAATCATGAAAACAAATTTATTTACCACTATTTCATATTCTTAGGGTACTTGTTTTTGTCGTCTTATTTTGTATACAAGTTCAAGTTTCTCTCAGCGGAATATGACTACCAAATCGACAAGGTTCATGTAGGACGTCATGAACTTATTGGTAGGGACACCATCGAGTTCAGGAAACCTGAATCAAATTTGACAGATTGAAAAAGATATTGGCCTACAAAACTAATCCACTCCTCTAAGTTTGAAATGGGCTCCTCCTTGACTGTTACTCAATATTCAGTTCGTTCTGCTTCAAATCCAAATAAACAATGGGACCAAAATAGAGTTCCCCAAACCTAATATTCCTAACTCTCAAACCCAATATTCCACCTCAAGGCTAAAAGTTCACTCCCATAAATTTCTGCAATATAAACATATTTCGAATCCTTTCGTAAAACTACATAAAATGATTATTCAGTTCGAGAGAAAGAGCAATCCAAACCACAATTTGGTTTGAATAAAATCAACTTTTAAGACTTTACTCCGATTTGGTTTAGGTTCAAATTCGGCTAAAGATACCACAAACCTACGACCCTACTCATTCGTGGTTATGTCTTACTCTTTAGTCTTTAGCTAAGGCCCACAAGCCTCTGCTACAGATCCTAAAGCACACCCCCCCAACCCCACACACGACCCTTTTTCAATGTTTCCATAACAAGAAAACAGCCACCAGATTTGGAGAGATATCCCTTCCTAGGAACAAAAAACGAATGAATGAGGCAGCCAGCTATTTAACAACTAAGCAAAAAAAACAACCACCTCTCTGAAATCCCACCTCTACGCCTCTCTTCCCATTTCTTCCTTTTTTCCCCCCAGCCGCAGTATATAAACCAATCACAAGCCGATCCCTCAGAAACACAAAACAGATAATAACACCATGGCCAGCTTTCCTCGAGAAAACATGCTGCTGCTGAGTCTACTTTTTCTTTCCCTGGCAGCAGGGGTTTCTTCTTCGCGTAACAGGCCGTACACTCCCCCAAACGTTAGGCGGCTGACTGATCTCTTTGGCCGCCTCACAATCAACCAGGGTTTCAACACTTACTACGGCGGCCAGAACATTAAGCAGTTCAACAATGGGTCCTTTGCCACTCTTTCTCTCGACAAAACTTCAGGTATATATATATATGCGCAGAGGAAGTTGTAAGCTTGACGAAGTGGGTTAGAAAAGTTTCTCATGGGTTTCTTTCTCTTCTTCAATAATTTTTGCAGGGGCTGGATTGGCATCGAAGAACAAATACTACTATGGATTCTTCAGTGCTGCAATCAAACTGCCTTCTGGTCTTTCCCCTGGAGTTGTGGTGGCCTTCTATGTAAGTCTCCTCTGCCCTTTTTTTCCCTCTGTTTTTTCCTCTGTTTTCCTCTGCTGAGAGACATTGTAACGATGGATGGGAATGTTGTTTCTGTTTTGATTTGCTTTGTTGCAGTTGTCTAATGCAGAAACTTACCCTAACAACCACGACGAGATCGACATCGAGATCCTTGGACACGACAAGAGGAACGACTGGAACTTGCAGACGAATGTGTACGCAAATGGGAGTGTCAACACTGGCAGGGAAGAGAAATTCAACTTCTGGTTCGACCCAACTCAGGACTACCACAATTACACCATCATTTGGAACAGCCACCACATAGTGTAAGTTCTTGTATGAAATTAATCGCAACACATGATCTCAATTTCCCAAACTTTCTTCAACCCATCTTCTTACCTCCATCTTCCATCTTTCTTGGGTTGCAGGTTTCTGGTGGATAGTGTACCGGTGAGAGAGTTCCAGTACAGCAGCGCATACCCATCGGTCTACCCATCAAAACCCATGAATGTCTATGCAACAATATGGGATGGGTCAGAATGGGCAACACATGGAGGGAAATACCCAGTTAACTACAGCTATGCGCCATTTGTGGTTTCAATTGGTGATGCAGAACTGACTGGCTGCATACCAAATCCAACTTCCTGTGCCAAAAAGGCTGCTGGCACCGGCAATTCTTCGAGCTTGGACCCTGTCGATGGATCGGAATTCGTCAGTTTGTCGAAGGAGCAGAGTCTGGCTATGGACTGGGCGAGGAGGAAGCTCATGTTTTACTCTTACTGTGCTGATAAGTCTAGGTACAAGGTCCAACCGCCTGAATGTAAATAAATTACACGCAAGACATTCTCCCAGAAAACATGGGTTGTTTTAATCTTACACATAGCTGAAACCATTGAATTGTTTACTGTACAACCAACCAACCAACCAACCCCATGGGTGAGATTTGATTAATAAAAGTGACAGGAAGTTGTTTCATTTGTTTAATTCGAACCCAGGAGATGAGTTTGCTGATCGAGGTCAAGTTTTCGTTACATTTCAGAGCTGCAAGAAGTTTAATTAAGTTGGAGGTTAACGTTGCAATAAGTTAGATCTGAGAACAGATCACAGTCACAGTGGTGGCACAAAAAAGTTGATAAAATGCAGGCAGAGGGATCTGACCTGCTTTTGATACTCCCAACACAGTGTGGAAAAAAAATCATTTCATGATGGAGATGCAGCCAAAGATTATGGTCTGAATTCATAAACACAATCTCAGAAAAGATCAGAACGGACAGCTAATCAGCCATTGAAGCCGAGGTATGGACATGGTTATTTAACAAAGAAGAGGGGCAGGAAAGCCTATACACGACGGTTTTGGTGGTGCTTGTATGGAAGCTTCCTTATATGTAAACAGGCAGGCCAGAGAAAGGGTTCGAGGCTGGTCAATGGATAGGGTAACCGAGGTCCATGACTATGTGCTGGCGACTACCCGGTGTTTATTGGACATAATCATTGGTAGAGGCGTAGTCGAAATTTCAATATTAAAAAAATGTAAGATAATGTCATTTAAATTTTGGAAAGATCTTGACGTATTTTCATAGTTAAAAAAAATCAAAACACAATTATCATTTTAAAGATTGAGAGCAAAGAAGAAACTTGATGATATAGAGATTTTAAAAGTCGAAATTAACGGTTAGGGTGGTAGAATTTTATTTTTAATATATGTAAAAGTCACGGTATGCCGTATATTTAAATTGAATCAATCCTCAAGGTTGTGAGCGAAAAGAAACCTCGATGATTTGGGCATTTGAGAAGTCAAGAATCAACAATTAGAGTGGTAGAGTATTTATTAAATTTGTAACCATCCATATATAACATTTACAAAGAATTTATTAAGATTTACAAATGATTTTTGAATACCACATCAAACATTTGTAACCATCCATTTGTAACATAATAAATTAATAATCCTAGAGTAAAGGCAACCTCACCTAGGTCTTCATGGCAAAATATCTGGATAGCATTTATTTTGTAGCCTCTATTGTAATAATATTGTTACTCATTATTAATAATTTGGTTGAAATATAATCAAAGAATGACTTCATTAGGAGTGGATTTTTCTATGTATACACATTTATTAAATTCAATGACCAAAAACCATGTGACAAAGTTACTACCTCAAATTTATCATCTCATTGTTTGGGTTCTTGTTTAACTTCATATAGAGACTTCATCAATCTACACTCTTTATGTTCTTATCTAGGGATAACGAACCTGATAGGTTGTTTCATGTATATTTCTCCCTCTAGGCTGCCATTTGGAAATGTATTGTCACATCCATTTGATGGATTTTGAGAACGTATGTGGCGGCTAGAGCAATTAGCATATGTATAGATGTAATCTTCGTGTCTAGGCCATAAGTGTCAAATTAGTCAAGATCTTCCTTTTGTCTAAACCCATGGATCAAAAGTCGTACGGTATGATATTTTATTGAGTACTAGCTTATCACGCAGTGCAAGCCAAAGGATAAAACCATCCTTTGGAATAACCTCTTTAGCCCATACAAGCTTCCACCAAGGCACTTCTTGGCTCTTGCTCATATATTCGAATTGCATTCCATACTCTGGTTACTGAATACTTCTACATCTTTTCTCCTTCCCAAAGAACGTGAGGCCCATTGCTAGAGATAAAGGGGCAAGCTAGGTTCCTGCACTTCAAGAATCTCTTCCAAATCCAATTGCAGAAGAAGAAGCAGGGATTTCCCAGATAGTCTTCTGCTTTAGTCTATATCTGATGACCCATGCCACCGATAATGACCCTCCTGAAATCAAAATGTTCCAAATGTGCCTCAACACACAAGCTTTGTTCCATAGACTAAAGTTTCGAATACCCAAACCTCCCTCCTTCCTAGGCAATGCCACCTTATCCCAGGCCATAACTGCTCTCTTTCTGGTCCCATTTTCAGCAGAATCCCACAAAAACTCATTGCACAATCTCTCAACTTCCTTAATAATGTACTGAGGCAGTAGAAAAATGTTGAGCCAATACTGAAGAGTGCTTGTAATCATAGTGGATATAAGCTGAATCTTTCCTGCATAACTCAGCAATCTAGATCTCCAGCTACGAAGTCTCTGCGTTATCTTATCGATAAGGACCTGACAGTCCGACCGTTTAAGCTTCCCAGAAATAAGCGGAACACCCAGGTATTTAACAGGCAACTCACCAAGTGGGAACTCAGTGAATGCCGAGATAGCTTGTTTCTCCCCCTGTGATATCCCTGCACAGTATAACTGGCATTTCGATGCATTACATTTCAAACCTGACAGCTTATAAAACCCATCCATTAGTCTTCTAATACCTACCACTCCTCTAACAGAGCCATTCGTAAACATCATCAAGTCATATGCGAAGCACAAATGTGTGATCTGAAGCTGTTTACACCTAGGATGGAATATTTGTGTGGTAGTAAGAATATACTCGCACACAAAATTTGAGGTAAGAACATAATTTAGGTGCAAAGCATTCATCATTTCATTAACATTTTAGTTCTTCTTTTCTGCAACTCCATTTTGTGGTGGGGCATATGGTGATGACGTTCGATGAATAATTTCATTTTCTAGAAAAAATTATGCAAAAGGAAATCTATATTCACCACCTCTATCACTTCTGACCATTGTTATTTTCTTGTTGATCTTATTCTCAACTTTGGTTTTGAAATGTTTGAATGCATTGATCGCCTCACCTTTGTACTAATTAAATAGACTTAGCAATATCAAGTGCTATCGTCAATATATGTTATGTAGTACTTTTCCACCTCGAGATGGTGTTGAATTTATGTCACAAATGTCGGTGTGAATAAAGTCCAAAGGTTCATAAGTTCTTTCAACGAAATTATAGGGATGGTTTGTAAACGTTGATTCTACACATACTTGACATTCGATTTATAGCATTATAATTTGGGCAAAAGTCCCATGTTTATCATGATTTATGTCACAATGACTTTGGAATCAACCATCTTGTACTCTAAAAACTCGGCTCGATGGGATTTATTCGCCCCGACCTCTTCAGCCTTGTACTTATTCTCGAGCGCTTCCCACAATTTTTTAGAGGTAGCAGTGGTGCTATAGACATTGAATCGAATAATTTGTGTAAAGGAAGTCAAAATGGCTCCAATCTCAAATTGCAAGAATCCATCCATTTTGGGCACATGCTCGTCAAGATTTGGATCTCCTCTTTGATGAACTTTTGAAGTCCCAAAGTGGTGAGTTAAAAATATATTTTTTGTTGCCACCACATGAAGTCGACGCTGTAAAAAAAAGCTTTCAGGTTTTTCTGTCGGTGCCAATGTGTGTGTTGCAACTTGGAGTGGAGCACTTGAGTTTTGTGTAACTTTGTTGGAATTAGCTCGAAGCATAATCCATTTCCCTCTTCTTTATTTCAATGAAAAATAAACCAAAAATTTATTAGCAATATACTAATAAACAGAAGTAGAAAACCACAAAGGTTCTAAGGTCAAATGGAGTAGAAAACCACGAAGGTTTTGGGCTCATTTTGAAAATTGGAGTCTAAATCTGTAGATTTAAACAATTCAAAGATTTTAACTCTTTAGATTGTTGAATTTTTTTTAAAAAATGTTCATTGTTTGATAACTGCGATTGTTAAATCAATGAAAAATAAAAATTCTAAATTTGTATCAAATCACTTATTCACCCTCAACCAATAGAATCAGAATGCCTCGATAAATATTGAAAATTTACTGACAAGGGTATTTAGTGGAATAAATAACTTAAAATCCACAATACAAATAGCAGCAAAAAAATAACTTTCTATTGAATCTATAGATTCTGTGAATTCATTACCCAAATTCTTTCTCCAAATTACCCCTTGGTCTCAGTGCAGTTGAAAGTCCGAAGATGATAATCTATAAATATTTAGTAGAAAGCCGAGCTTTAATCTCAATGGATTAGAAAAATCCAAAGAGTTTTAGTCGTCAAAATTCTTAGAACAAAGAAGTGAATATGAACATTTCCCTTTTTAGTTTTGTTTAAGTTTGTTGGAATTAGCTCGAAGTAGAATCCATTTCCCTCTTCTTTCTTTCACTGAAATATAAACCAACAATTTATTTGTAATTTACTAATAGATATGAGTAGAAAACCACAAAGGTTCTAAATCTCAGATGGAGTAGAAAACTACATGTTTTACTCTCTCATATCTTGAATGTTTGATTTGGTAATCGTTGTTCGTCGATCCATTTTATTCTAGATTGTACTTCTTTCGCCACATTTCAGGTCCGAGTACGTATGGGAAGCTCAGGGACAAGTTTCGGGATATTCGGAGGTCAAAATGAGCCAAAAAGTGAAGGTTTTGCATGGTTCACGGGCTGGGTGTATTATTCATTGTCTGGAGGGCGTGAAAATCACCCCCAAACCATGAACAAAGCTAGTTTCCAGTAGGGTTAGTGCATTTCGCGGGATGTGTACACTTCACTGCTAGAGGGAGTGATAATAACAACAAAACTGTGAAGTATGCACAAAACGCTGAGTTTTCACCTGAGATCATGTTTTGCATTGTTCATGGCAGTGGAGTACATAACAAAACTGTGATCCTTGCACTGCTACGAGTATAAATTGACAGCAACGGGTTTTTGAGAAGGGGAGCTGGGTTTTTGTACCTCAAAACACCCTAGGGGTGATTCTATATATAGAGAGAGTGACATAGGAGGGTTCTTGGAGCTATTTTGGAGGTGAAAATCACCATTGGAACTTGAAGATCATCCACTAGAAGATGAAAATTGAAGATTTTAAGCCCTTTATGGTATTCTCTCTCTCTTCTTCTCTTCTCTATGAATTAGTCTCCTTCACTTAGGTTGATGAACCCTAGTTCTTGAATTTGGTTTGATTCTTGATGTGTGTGACAAACCATATGATTGACTACTCATATTATCTATTTGATTGGTGTTTATGATGAACTGATGAGTCTTGATCCCACTACATGTCAGTTGAGCTTTTGACTTAGGAGGGAGAATATCCCCTTAGGTTGAATAGAGCACATTCAGTCACTCACTATGAATCTTCGAATGAGTGTGATAGGATCTATAGTGCCATATTGGGTCTTGTCCAGCTGTGGGAATTGGTTGTGAACACCTCAATTGCCTACGCCAGTTTTACGATACGCCTATCCGGGTGGAGCAATTGAGCGGGGTTGGATGCACACGAATAGAGAATCCAACCTAGTCTAGAATTCTATGCGGTAGAAATATCGAGTCGATCAAACTAGGGTAGTGCTCAACATTAGTCCAATTGAGGAGCTAGGAGGATTCTTGCCTAAGTGAGCTACCAACCTTGCAATTAGCTAGGGTAGTGGTTAGGTTAGTGTAGTTGGTTTAATCTTAATCACTATTCTAGTTTGGCTAGATAACATAGCTAAGTCGTTGTAGTAACAATACATCTAGAGACCTGTGATTTGATAATTATATTACTTTACTTACCCTTTGCTACACCCGGTCGTCAGTTATACTTGGAATTCTTTTGGGAATGTGTAGTTAGTACGAGTCAGTACCCAATGCTTAGAACTATTCCTCTGATAATAGAACAGACGTACCTTCGAAAACCCCAAAATTCGTCGAGCTAATACATATTCTTATATATAAAGCTAGAGTAGTTTTACTGTTGCCAAAACAAATTACAAATTAGTCCCTATAACATTTTACATTTTAATACCCCAAATTTAATTTTAATATAAATCATTGAATAAATATATTTTTGTAACTATATTTTATGACATTTTGGTACCTACAATTTTTTAAATTTATATATTGGTCCAATGTCTAGATTTCGCTTGAATTCATGGATCCAATCCACCAATTATTTTACACCAATCCATGAATCCAATCCACCATAACATAAAAGTATAAATTTAGTTTGTATCATACAAGATGTTGTATCACTCAATTGTAGGAGAAGATTCGATCATTTTATAATTACTCATTACGTAAAATATTAATAAAAGGTAAAAGAGAGACTACTCTAAATTGTAAGAGCGAATTTATAAACTCATTTAGTACATTTACGGGTACTAAATAAACTTCTACTAACTACATGTACCAAAATATGCGACACCTATAGGAGTGTGCAACGGTTCGGTCCGAACCGGCCATTAGTGAAAAGACATCTTAGGACCAAGGACCGAACCATCATTGCATTCGATCCATTTGGTTCAATTCAGTTCGTTCTGGTCCAAATATCAGTTTGATCCATCATTACTTCAGTAATTGTAAAATTCATGTGGACTAAGGACCGGACCGCATTATACTCGGTCTGATCCATGACCAGACCATTGCACACCACTAGACATCTAAATAAGCAAGTATAAATAAATTTTTATGGTGAAAAGGGTTGACTGTTGTATTGATAGCCAACTAAAAGAATTGGTCAAAACTTATTCATCATCTACTTCCTCTTCGTTTCATTTTTCACTCGCCTTCCATAGCCCTTTCTTTATTTCTTTCTTTGCTTTCTTTGTCTAGCCCTAATTAGTATACTATTTTTATGTATTCTAATCACAAGTATCAACGGGTCCATACAAGACTCACCATCAGTCTATAGAATTAATAATTTAACCATGGACCACTAATTTGTTTAGCTCAATGTCGAGTCCAAGTAAAAACACATATATATGGTTATTACTTATTAGAAAATCGTCATTTTCCACTACGGTATTTGTTAAACGAGTTCCAGTTTGTATTCATTTTGCTTCTCTCTAGAGTTTTTCTTTTTTCACTCGGGCTAGAATTTTCTACAATTACATGGAATGTTTGACTAGGTATCTACACATATCAAATAAATAGTTTCCATTTTTCTATAAAAAATTAAATAATTTTCATCATAAATACATCACCATAAAAGGAATTAATCCTCAACTATGCAAATTGAAGTTTGGTATCTAAACTTAATAGATATTTAGATTTATAACATAAATTTATTTTTTTTGGCATATAAGTCCTCAAAATATTGTTGGAACATTACATTTTAATTTTAGTACATAAAATATTTATGTATTACATTTTGGTACCTAAACTTTTGAAGTTCTACAGATAAGTCTAATTTTTGTATGTGTAATTAAAATACCCTCGAATAAATGGGTATTCATACTCAACTCATACACATTTAGATTATGAAAGTAAATATCCACACCCTACCCAAACCCATCTACAAAACTTCCAAACCCATATATACATCACCCATACCCTACCTATAATCAATGGGTCTACTTTGGTTTAGGTAAATATCATTTATTAGCCAAAATTTTAAATTTTTTTAAATTGGATGTTGACCGCCATATATCTCTTCTTAGTCAATATCATAATGTCAAGTCAATATTACTAACAAAAATGCTAACAAAGAATTAATTTTATATTAATAATACTAACAAAACATAATAACGGATCACATAATACATGCCCATACGCCATCTTCCCCGCGCCAAGGCGCGGCATCGCCACCTAGTTAATATATAAACAGAATGTCACAAAATTACAAACATCATGCATGAGCCCATAGTGTACATTGTTTTTCCTTAAACTACCATGTTTAGACGTACCTTTGAAAAATCCAAAACTCATCAGTACGGAATATAACAACTGAATCTAGTTGAACAAATATAAAAGACAAAGCAAGTGGAAACGATAATGCAAGATTGTATAAATGAGCCTTTTTTAGCTCCTTTGAACTACTTTCACTCTCTTCCCTTCATTTTCATTCACACCACCACAAAATCCCAATTGCATTATCTAGTTTTGTGTTTGATAGAGGTTTGATAGATTACAGTTACTCTGTTTTGCTGTTGGCCAAGGGGGGTTTTATACGGACAGGGTGTACGACTGATTCACGGTGCTGGTTTTTTTTTTCTCTCTCTCCTGGACTGGTTCTTGAGCTATAAAATCCTCACATCATTCAACGAGGAAAAGGGGCTAATCTGGAAAGAGTTCCACTTTCAAAGGGAAGCACTTTGCCTTCTAATTATTGGAATCATAGATTCAGTTCAGGTGATCACCATGAAGAGCTTTTGGTACAGAAGGCTGCATGACATACAAAAGTGAAAAACCCAAAGTAAACAATCAATGCTAGAGTAGAGGCTTCCTCCAAAAAGAAAAAAAGAAAGTAGATGACAACCACCAACACGAAATAAAGAGAGAAAAACGACAGTATTCTTCATGGCGACCATCTTCATCTTTTATCATCATCGTCATCATTTCCACTCAAATTACCAGGCACGAAGAAGGGGAATGGACACAGAGGAGAAACAACCTCCCCCTTCCCCCACCGACCCCGAAATCCAGGCTGCAAACTATAGCCAAGCAGGGTTCTTCAAGGGAGTAACAACTGCCTTCACTTGCAAGTAATTGCTAAGACTGTAGATACCCTTCTCCCTCCCATGTCCGCTCATCTTGTACCCACCAAAGGGGATCGCGGCATCAAAGATATCAAACGTGTTCACCCACACCGTCCCAACTCTAAGCGCCCTGATCAAGGTGTTGGCGGTGTCTATGTTCTGCGTAAACACTCCTGCTGCCAGCCCATACCGGGTTGCATTTGATCGTTTGATGACTTCATTAAGATCCCTGTGGGGAAAAACCAACAACAAAAGAGATTACAGACACTCCGAGTATGTTTTACCATGTTGTTCTTAGTACGAAAAGGGGTAAAAATGGTAGTTTGTTCCTTAGTTGCTTACTTGAACTTCAGGATGGACTGAACTGGTCCAAAGATCTCATCTTTTGCAATCAACATGTCATCCTAAAATGAGGGGCAAGAACAAACAATAATGTGTTTAGAGCTGTGGTTGATGTGACAGAAAAAGGTTAGTAGGGAGTCGTACATAATTCATGTGGTATCATTGGCATTACCTTGACGTTAGAGAAGACAGTAGGCTGGACGTAGTAGCCCTTGGAACCGTGTCGCTCACCTCCAGTTTCAAGGGTAGCTCCACACTCGACACCAGATCTTATGTATTTCAGGATCTTCTCAAACTGCTCTGAATCGACCTGTCAATGATTGCATTCATCAAGGATAAACCTCAGACTAAGCCGCCACATTTCAGTGACATACACACACAAGAAGAGTACTCTTCCTGCTTTTAAGAAATTGGCTGATCCGGAGTTTGTCAAAGTTAGAAAAGACTTATTTGAAGTATACCTGAGGGCCTTGTTCAATGCCGGCCTTGAATGGATCGCCGACTGAGCGTCTTGAAGCACGCGCCTTGGCTTTCTCAACAAATTCGTCGTATACTTTTTCGTGCACGAATGTACGAGATCCAGCGCAGCAGCACTGGCCCTGCAGTTTTGAGGACCAGAATTTTGAGATTCAGTAAAGCAAACTTATCGATTGGGACAATATTCACAGTGTTCTGCAGAAACAAGCACATGCCTGGTTGAAGAACAAAGCAAAATGAGCAAGCTCAACAGCTTGATCCACATCAGCATCCTCACAAACAATGAAAGGTGATTTCCCTCCAAGCTCCAAAGTGACTGGCTTCAAGTTGCTTTTTGCTCCTAGCTCCAGAACAATCTTTCCGGTTTCAGTTGATCCAGTGAAAGCAAGCTGCAAATACATAGCTCAGCGAGTCAGCTGTATTTGGTTTAACAATTGAAGTAAGCATCGGAGAAACTAGTTAGCACAATCTTGACAATCAGTAGAAGGAGAACCAATTAAAATTTTTGGTGTCAATATTCAGTTTACCTTGTCGACATCCATATGGCTAGCAAGAGCCGCACCAGCAGTTGGTCCAAACCCAGAAATGATATTCAAAACACCTTCAGGAAGGCCAGCCTAACAACAAAGCCACAACATGGATATTAAGTGGCGGAGGATAGGACTTTTAGAGAGCCGCCATTAGTCTCAAGAAAGGAAGGTGGATAACAATGGCACAGATCATATGGAGAGGCAATGACTCTCAGTCAGTAAGTACCTCATGGAATAGCCTAGCCACATAGAGAGCAGACAGAGGCGTTTGTTCAGCAGTCTTGAGAACAATGGTGTTCCCAGTTGCTAAAGCCGGGCCAACCTTCCAGGCAAACATGAGAAGAGGGAAGTTCCATGGAATGATCTGCCCTGCAACCCCAATTGGCTCATGCAAGGTTTGCACGTGGTAAGGTCCATCAGCCGGTACAGTGAGGCCATGGATCTTATCAGCCCAACCTAAAAATTTTACCAGCAGAGAAATCCAAATCTGAGTGAGTTCCCTCATCGTGTCTCCAAGAAAACTAACACATTCCCACCGAATAGGAACATTTGGTGACTGAATCATACCAGCATAGTACCGAAAGAGCCGCGCAAACATTGGCACCTCAACTTTAGCAGCTTGTTCATAAGGCTTCCCATTGTCCCACGTCTCAAGTGCTGCAATTTCATCGTTGTGCTTATCTACCAAATCAGCACACTTCAACAATATCTTTTGCCTTTCCTGGGAAGTAGCACACCAGAGCAAACAACAGACTCATCCCTGATCCCAACACAACATATTGAATGGGAGGAAAAATATGAGTGAAATGTTCTCATAATTACAAAAGCAGGAAGCCTGGGCCATGGTCCTTCATCAAATGCCTTGCGAGCAGCGGCGACAGCTCGATTGACATCCTCGGCGTCACCTTCAGCTACATTAGCAATCAGTTCCCCAGTTCTTGGGTCCAGTGTTTGGAAAGTTCTTCCTGTTGGCACAAGAACCAGAGTTAAAAGGCAAATCGAAGTTCAGTAAACGAATGTGAGGAACAAGGATGGGAAAAAGTACATTATAATAATAATAGTAGTAATAACAGTATTATAGTAGTACTAGCAGTAGGACCTGAAGCGGCATCAACGAATTTGCCATTAATGAGGAGTTGAGTATGTGGTACAGTTACAGGTGGAGTAATGGGTTCCTCAGCAGCGGCAGCAGTGCTGTTGTACCTGTGGATTCCTCCTCTGCTCACCAACCCTAATTTCTTCCCTGGACAACGTGCGACCCGATCGAAGTTAGGTCGGGGATGCAATGAATTATAATATAATTGTCAGGGTCAGAATTCAGGGGAAACCAGGACTTAGAAGAGCGAAGATAATAATTGAACATGTGGATCTGCTGCAGGGACCCCGATTCCCAGAACAAGATTAACGAGGACGAATATAGAATCAATTGTTCAGTAGAATCTCACGAAAAAAGAAAGGAGAATTCAGAGAAAGAAATGAAATTCCAAAAATCTCATCCCCATCGAACCCACTTCGGCTTAAGGCCCCAGTTTCTCTGTCTCGCCAAAACAGACCAAAAAAGATCAAACCTTTCGATCAAAAATAGCAATTTTCTCAGGAACCCAACAAAAGCAACAGTTCACATCGACCAGGAACAGAATCCCTCCCAAAGTGCTCCACAGTAGTTGACGATCGCGATCATAGAGAGGGATAAAGAAAAGATGGAGTACCTCTTGGAAGCAGGGCAGATCTGGGCCCAGAAGAAGAGATGGAACGAGCAAGCAACCAAGAGACCGTCCTGGAAGCCATGGCAGCCTAAGAAACTCTGAGAATGGAAGTTAAGGGAAAGGTAAGACACTCTTCACGTCCTTCTATCTTTTCTTATGTTCCTCTCTTCCTTTTTCGCTGGAAGTGCAGAGTCGAGTGTGGTCCACTTATATGGGGAAGGACTGTGCTCTGTAAAATCTGTATCCCCTGTTTTATAAGCAATTGATATGATTAAACAAACTTATCTCTCTCTGACTCTCTCTCGGAGAATGAAAAATGGAAGGGCAATGAGGGCGTTAGAGCATCAAGGGCTTGTGAATGTGATGCTTAGCCCAAAACAATGGAGGTGAAGTTTGGAGATAATATAAAAAACAAAAAAAAAAGATTGAAAAAAAGGAAAAGAAAAGACAAAAATGGATCACTATCACCTACCCAGATGGGCTCTTCTTTTTCCAGCTGAGATTTTCGTTTTCACCGACTTGGCCGCCGTTACCTACTTTGGCTACAAATTCAAACGTTTACTTCTCTTATTGAGTTATTGTATATGATTTGTTCCTTTTTTTCATAGACGGAGACCCGTCTGAAACAGGGGAAAACAGGGCTTCAAAGAAAAGAAAAGGTTTTGTGGACCGAAACTAGTTTGGCCCCAAATTTGATCTAAGTGTCGGTTTTTCGTTTTCATGGACTTGGCCGTTGTTAGGGGTGTTCAAACGGTGTGGTTACCATGATAACCGTTTTAATCAGTACTATTTGGATAATTTAGTTTGGTTAATTTGGATAATTGGTTTAGTTTGGTTAAAGTTTTTAGCTTGTTTGGTTTAGGTGGTTTGGTTTGGTTTCAGACACTCCTAACCAGCCAAACCAAATTAACCAGATAAATAAATAGTCATATATATAATATATACACATACTTAATACTTTGAATAACCACTCAAGAGTTGAACGTTCATCCCTTTTAGACTCAATAAATATAAAGCTTGATATTGTTCCTATAATGTATATTTGTATATGTAGAGTGTAGACTACAACATATGAAAGTCTAATTTAGATAAATCTCATACATTATGTTGGATGAAAACTTGAAAGCAAGGTCCTTTTCAGCCTATGAAAATTGCTAAAAGACTAATTCAATTCAAACAAACACAAAAATTCGTTAACCCATACCATTGTGATAATTTTTTGTTAGGTGAATACTTCTATACTAACCGTAAGATAATTGTCTTAGTTGCATGTATTTATGTTAAGGGTCAACTATAACTATGTGTTGATTGTTATGTTTATTCATTATATAAATTGTGAATTGATAAATTAACCGAAATTTTCTCACTTAATGATAATGTGATTTTATATTGTTTAATCTGGTTAACCAATTAACCAAACCGATTAAACTTTAATATGGTTAATTTGATTATTGTATAAGTTTGGATGGTTTAATGAAATTTAGCCTTATTTAATTTGATAATAACATGTAACCATTTGAAACCCCTTAGCCGCCATTACCTACTTTGGCTACAAATTCAAGCGTTTACTTATCTTATTGAGTTATTGTATATGAATTTTTCCTATTATTCATAAACGGAGACCCGTCTGAAAGTGGGGAAAACAAGCTTCCAAGAAAAGGAAAGGCTTTGGCCTTTGTGGACTGAAACAAAGTGGGAACACAGACAGCTCTATTAAATGAACGCAGCCACGAATTAATATTACAATTACAAGTGGCGGGCAATATAAACCCCACCGAGGCTTTTTCGGAGGGATGCATGCACAGAAAGGTTTTTGGGTTTGGCCTTGTCTCCAACTTTTAGGACTAGGGTTGCAAATGAGCATACATGAATAGCGACTCGGTATTCGTTTCGGAAAAATCATGTTCGATACTCAATTTTTTTACTAATTAGTTCAATTTGAGTTAAATTTCGCTAAGCTCGCAAGACTTGTGAATAAGCTTGATTCGGTGGCTAGTTTTGAGTTATGAGTTGGTTCGACAATACAATAACGGAACATCTAAATTAGCAACTTATGAGGGAATCGATTGGCAGCTTATCATTAACTTATTGATAATTCATAGTTTTATTAAATTATATAGCTCACCATATATGATGTTTAAGAATTCGAGCGTTTAATCAAATATGTGTCATTTATAATTTAAAAGAGATCTTATGAATGATAAATTGTTCATATATCAATTACTTTTAAATAACATGACATGGACATTTAAAAAATATGAACTAAATAATAAGATATTTAAGTTCGGATCGATCGAGCGAGTTAATTGATAATTCGAAGGCGATTAGAGATCGTGACCTCATTGATGTGTGGAAATCAAACTACATCAAAACTTGACTCCACCCTTGCGATTTAGGATTCCCTCAACTTGCTACAATTGGTACACATAAGTACATAACACACCACCCCTACATACATCATAATTTACGGGGAAAACAATTAACCTTTGACTAATTTTACGATAATTTGTCCCGGGAAGGGAGCGGATACTATAACAACATAAGTGGTGTTGTTATAGTAACATCAGGGTAAAAGGGTCAATTAACAAAATATAATAAAAATTGAAATTTGGACGGATGAAAACTCTGCTTCGCCACTCTCCTCTTTCCCCAATCTCCGACTCTGCCCATCCTCCAACCACCGTCCTCGTAGCCGTCGTCGTCGTAGCAATTCTCCCCCGTCGCCGCCCGCCCGGGCCTGGGGATGACCACGCTCATGGAGACGGCGTCGCCCATGGAGAATCTGGCGGCGGGCGAGCTGTCTTTGGTTTCCCCGGGGTAGGCATCATAGAAGCCGTGCTAGATCAGGATCGCCTTCCCAGGTAGAATCTTTCGGTGCCAGATTCGGATCGTTCCCTATGTGTTCATCTAATTCGTCTCCTCGCGTCGCCGGGCACGACTTTCCTCCGTCGTCATCATCACCATTAACGTCCGTTTATGCCACCAGAGACCATAATTTTCACCGGTTTGTCCTCCTTGCATTTGACCCCTGTCCAATTCATTATTTGATCTGAACAAAAATGGAATTCTCCCACACTGCAATCATTGATACCGATTCCTAGCTGATCTCCATTCTATCAATTCCGAGTACAAATGCCCCTCTGCTTTTTAATCTTTCGTTGTTGATGATCCATCATGGAATATGAAGTTGTGTTTCCCCTGCTTGTATATTTCTATACTTAGGTAAACAAGTTCTCCTGCTGCAGAAGTGGGAATATGAAGTTGAGCCACCTCATGCACTCATCACTGCGAGTGCTGCAGGAAACCGGCTTTACTTGTTCAACGTCACTGCAAATGGTAAACAAGTTCTCCTGCTGACCGAGGGGACTTGTGAAGATGCAGATAATCAGAGAGATTATTGGCCGATATATTTATTTGTTTTGCAGGTCTTCAGTGGAAGAGACATTACCCGGAGTTGAAGAAGATAGCTGACTCGTTTTGTGTTGTTTAGTCAGTAGCTTGTTAGATCTTTGTACAATCAAAAGAAGAGTTCGAAAGGGTATTTCGAATCTCTTGGTGTTCTTGTCGTGGAAACAATCGAGAGGCCAGAATGTACGGTGCTTAGTAAAGAGTATGCAAGTTGACATACTATCTGATACTACATACTAGCAATCCTCTTCATGGTAACTTTGTAGCAAGATAAGGTTTTCCAAGCATGAATGGACCGTGTATTTTACTATTTTTTATGCTTGCGATACTACGAATGTACTGTGTATATATACTAGATGGATCATAGATTCACTCATTGTTCATTTATGTATCTCAATTACTAAATGAATCCATTTACAAAACACATCCAATAACCAAGTGCATAATTGAGTGCAACTAGAACTTTCTTTCTTTGACCTAAGTCCTTTCTATCACTTGCTGTCTTTGGTTGGCTAACAGAAGTGTTGAATCACCCTTTTTCCGAAAGCATACCACAATTATTTCGAAAACATACCAAAAACCTCCTAATGCAGACCATAAATTGTCTAAAACATACCAGAAATACGGTATAACAAACAAAAAATATTTCTAAAGCACACCAGGAACCCCCTAATACAAACGACAAACACGGTAAAGCAAACCAGAAACGTCCTAATGCAGTGCAAAAATCTATTAAAACAAACCAGAAACCTCACAAAGCAAACCACAAAATTTTAAAAAACACACCAGAAACCTCATAATGCAAACCAGAAACATCCTAATGCATACCACAAATTTCCTAAAACAAACCACAAACCTCACAAAACAAACCACAACATTTGCGAAGCACACCAGAAACCTCCTAATGCAAACCACAAACACAGTAAATCAAACCACAAAAAAACAAACCATAAACGTCCTAATGCAGATCACAAATATATTAAAACAAACCAGAAACCCCTCAATGCAAACCACAAAGTTTTTGAAAGCAAACCAGAAGCTTCTCAATGCAAACCGCAAACACGATAAAGCAAACCAGAAACTTCTTAATGCAAACCACAAACACGATAAAGCAAACCACAAAAGGCATACAAAAATATGAGAAACCAAACCATAAATCTCACAATGCAGATCATAACATCCATTGGTCGTTGACCGGTCAACAAAGACCTTTGACCGGTCAACGAAAACCGTTGACCAAACTCCGATGACCGTCAGTGAGTAGATTCCGGTGCCGATAGGCATATTCCGGCTCCGATGACTAGATTTCGACGCCGGTAAGCATATTTCGACCACGGTGAGCATATTCCGGCGACGGTGGCATATTCCGACGACAAAATAGCATATTCCGGCGACAAAAAAGTATATTCCGGTGACCTGCGACTAGATTCCGGAGACCGGTGACCGAATTCCGGCGGCCAAAATTTTGGGCCGAAAATAAAAAAAATTTGTTTATTTCTATTTGTTTATTTTTTTTATTATTTAAACATATTTTCATAATGACAATTATACCCCTGCTTTGATTTTACACTAGGTCAACTCATCTAATAAAAAGTCATCACAACCCTAGCTTCCTATTGGTTGGAGACTAGTGTTGTTACAATAACAACACAAGGGATGTTGTCATAGTATCTAGTCCCTTACGTAAGGGTTCTTAGATACATTAGGGTTTCCTTTGTGAAATCGGAACCTACAATATATCGCTTGTTGTGCTCTAAATGTGGAGTAGGGCTACAAATGAGCCGAGTCAAACTGAATTTTAACTCAGTTTAAGCTCGGTTCGTTAATAAACAAGTTGAGTTTGAGCTTGACTCGTTTATTAAAGAGTCAAGTCGAGTCGGGTTCGAGCTAGCTTGGTTACAAAAATCTTAACTCGTATTTGATAATATTCATTTTGTATTTGATGTATGATACATGTAATCAATGTCAAGATAATAATAATAGTTAAGTGGTTAATATTAACTAATCTCATGTTATACTTTGTGGTATCATATTATTTAGTTAATAAATTTTAATTAGGCAAAAATTATGTTGTTTCATAGTATCGAAACAATTTATGATACATAATTTCTTTTTAAAATTAAATAAGACATATTTGCTCAAATAATCTACGCGTTAACTTCTTATAGAGTGTGATATATATAATTTAACAATTCTATGAATTATCAAACTAAAATTCATGTAGATCGATTTGTTCATAAGTGGCTAATCGAGTAGGCTCTCTAGCCACAATGTTGAGAGTTGAGACATCGCATGAGCTCTAAACGAGCCAGCCCACGAGTTGAGCTCAACAAGCCACCGAGTTGAGCTACCTCGCGAGCTCCACGAGCTGCAGAAGACTTAGCTCAAGCTCGATTCGTTAGTAAACGAGTCGAGTTTCGAACGAGTTTTTCACGAATCGAACGCCGAACCGCTTCCGAGTAAGGTGCACTTACCACTGAGGGGATACGATTATGAAGTTATCTTGTAAAAATTTGTAGGTTTATTTTTTTTTATTTGTAGTTCGCTAAACTGTAATTTTCAATTTGTAGGCACTTAGACAATTTTCCAATGTACGCACTATTACTGGTTGGCTTCATGGAAGTGAAAGGTGGATTTCAAAGTTTATTCAGTTCGTGCGGATAGCAATAAAATTGACAAATCAGTATATAGTTATGTTTGTTTACTGAACTCAATTGAATTATGAAGTAAATGAGCTGTAGGTAATTATATTTTAATAAATTATTTTGATGCAAATATAATAGACTCAAACAACTAATATTAGAAACAAAAGAATCTGACTCTAAAAATCAAATTGGAGGCTACTATTTATGTGGCTAAGAGCATCTCCAACGGTTTGACTCTCCCCACTTGCATTCCTACGTGGCCCCAACTTGCAATTTCAATTGCCCATTGCACCCATGTGAGTGGCAATTGCAAATATGGGAACTTTCATCTAGTGAAAGTGGCTTTGCAAGCCACGGTGGATTTTGTCCTGTAATTTTTTTTTTCTTGGTTTAATTTCAATACCCACTTTTGGCTGCATATGCCATAGATTTAATTATTATTGGAATTTTTTGTATAATTTCCATGGACCATGTGTTAAATTAGTATTATTGTAATTTTTGTATCAATGGGAGTAAATAGCATCGTATACTAATTTTATTAATTAAAATAAAATATACATACTAATATAAAAATAAAATAAAATTTTTATTACTTTAATTTCATATCTACAAATATCAAAATTATTATATTTATTACTTTAATTCCAATGGAGATGCTCTAAGAACTAATATTAGAAACAAAAAATTCCGATTCTAAAGGTAAAATTCGAAACAAATATTTATGTTTCTAAATGTCAATATGGAGAAAAAATAATAGTCTTCAAAAAGGTCTTTAGAGACTAAAATATTAATTAGACTATTGTAACGACTCTATAGGCACTCATTCTTGTTGACTGTAGCATTTGGCTACCAGTCTAGCTTTTTGCCTTTCCAAACTGCCATATGCTAGATGCTTGTTTTTGTGGACCCATTTATTACCAACTCCATTCTTCTCAGGAGGGAGCTCAACCACATCCCAAGTGTGGTTGGCTTCCAAAGCTTGGTGTCAACTGTTATAACATCATTTCATTCCGAGAATTGAATGGCTTCCTTATAGGTTTCTGGTTCTTTGTGGGAAGAGATGCTTAGAACAAAATGCTTGTGATTAGGAGAAAAAGTAGAGTAATCAAGAACTGAGGAGAGATGATATGTCATATCTGGAGATGGTAGCTGATTTGGATGACTGGTGGAAGAACTCTGCTGAAGCATGTTGCAATGGTATTGTTGTAGGTGGGAAAGACGTTTGATGGTTCGAATAAACTTTCTGACAGGAAGTGGATTGACTGGTGGAAGAGGGGAAGGTGGTTGAGGGGAAGATGTCTCCTGGCTGGAGTCATCTTCAGTATCTGTATCAAAATGTTGGTCTTGAATGAATTGGGGAGGGTCTAGAGATTGAGTAGGCTGATCAGAAGGAGAATAGGAGGGACTGGGATCATCATATAAGGCTGGATCATAGGGGTTGGAATAGGCTGGGCTTTGGTTTGGGGTAGGATTATGAAAGGGAAATATATGTTCATGAAATTGAACATCTCTGGATACAAAAACATCATGAGTCTGAAGATCATAAATTTTATAACCTTTATCGCATTCTGAAAACCAATGGATACTCCCTTCCTAGCTCTAGGATCAAACTTCCCTCTGTGATTGGCTAGGGTACTAGCAAAACATAAACATCCAAAGACTTTGAGGTCAGACAGGTCTGGTGGTTGATTGTGAAGTTTTTCATAAGGAGTTTGGTTCCCC